TACGATGTACTGTAGCATGAGAATAGATGCAAAAACGAGGTATTTCAGGCAAAGACAGACACTCTGATATCAGAGCTCCTATCAAAAAATACTTTTGTCTGATTTTTAGGAAGCCTATCTCCTTCAGCGAATCCTCTCCACCTTCGGGACAAGCAAAGAACTGAGAGGGTCAGACAGGCATTAAAATCCTTTTTCTTTCTTGAGCAGTGGTTTAGATTCGCCTCATTGTGATTATTACCCCACCAACATAATTTTCTAGATTATGTCTACAAATAACGTCTCAGGATGGCTAGGTCTTTGGCTCAGCATCATTACCAGGTTCTACTTATTGTCAGAGATTTTCCTATCAAGCTGGAAACCTAAATTTAACTGTTAGCATTCCATAAAAGTCCCACAATAAGAAACCTAGAAGCAACTTTTGCAGTTAAGTTGGCTAATAGTTCTCAAAAATGGGAAAAGACATTTTAGGAATATATCTTAATCAGCTTGCGACATGCAAATCATACATCATTTAAATTCTATTAATTTAATTAGGGTCTTGCATTTATTTTCTGTGGGTTTATATGTTATACAAAAATTATGAATTCTGAAGATGTGGCTAAGGTTATTTAACATGTATTCCAGCATCACTGCAAACAAGAATGATATTGATGCTCCCTCCCAAGGATGGTCCAGCTATTCCATCTCTTAGCCTGGGGGGTGAAATTATACGCCCCTCAGAGAAGGTTCGCAATTTGGGAGTCCTCCTGGATCCGCAGCTGACACTAGAACATCATTTGTCGGCTGTGACCAGGGGGGCCTTTGCCCAGGTTCGCCTGATGCACCAATTGCGACCCTATCTGGACCGGGAGGCCCTTCGGATAGTCTCTCATGCCCTTGTCACCTCAAGACTGGATTACTGTAACATGCTCTACATGGGGCTGCCCCTGAAGAGTGTTTGAAGACTTCAACTAGTCGAGAATGCAGCCGTGCAAGCGATTGTGGGTGCACCTAGGTACACCCACGTTACACTTATCCTTCGCGAACTGCAATGGCTTCCCATTGGTCTC